ATATATATTTATTTATATTATTGAAATGAAACTATAATTCTAATAAGATAATAACATCCACTGCATCGAAGAAATTATTATTAAATTTTATCCTTACATTTTTCTAAAGAGGACTTTCAAATCCTATTACTCCTTCCCAACCCAAAACACGAGTTATACTATGTTTACTTTTTATTTTTCAAATTGGATTACTCCTTCCCAACCCAAAACACAAGTTGCACTATGTCTACTTTTTAATTTTTTTTTTATTAGTGATGTTGCCCACAATTTTTGGTATGTGGCCATAGGCATGTGCCATATATATAATATATCTATGGTTGACTCCAACTCAAATACGTGTTAGGCAGGTTAAATCCAAATGCCCTTATTGAATGCCTTTTGCCTTTGAGCACAATTGGTGTTCCTAACTTGGAAATGTTTGAAAAACTTGTTGAATAGGACAACAACAACAACTAATCATTCATCATTTATGTATTGATAGAACCTCTCTAGCACACATGATATGGACTCACATCACATGTGGCAATGACATGAATACGTGCTTTGACTTGAAAAAACTAACACTCGGGGTAAAGCCTTTACCCTATCTCACTATGAAGACATTATTGGAGTCATTATGAGAAATGGACTCCTAAATGTTACTCGCACCAACCTTTTGAAGCCGTTTAAATTGCACATTATGATGTTCCAATTTCAAATCTTCTTCCCCCAAACACCATTAATATATTGCTATTTCTTCCAAAGGAAACAAATAGGACATGGTTTTAATGTGACATGTAATCTCACATGAATGGACACCTTCTTTCTAGGGCTTGTGTAGACCTTTACACAATGGGTAGTGAATTATTTTACTCACATATAGGTGTGTATGTGTAGGGAGACATATACTTATAGAACATTTGCTTGGGGAAAAATAAAGGTGAGGCAGAGACTTTTATTTTTATTTTACACCATTTCATCCAGAAACTTATAGAAGACAAAAGGAAAAGTGTAGGAAAATTAGGTTAATTCATCTCGTTCCATTTCCCTCATAATGCACACAAATGGTTAAAGATTTTGTACGAATTCTTTATATATATATATATATATGAGGAGGGATCTTTTTACTTTAGGAGTAAGTTTACCTAAACTTACTCTTATTCCGTTCAATAACTCATATTTTACATCAACTTTCAACGATCCAACCGTTCAATGTAAAGTTCTTAATGCATAGATAAAATCTGGAAATTTTTAGAAATTTTGAAAATCATTTGATACTTCGTTTCATTATTTCAAATTGATGGATAATCATAAAATCATTTTATACATTAATTCAAATTAATGAAACGAAGTATCAAATGATTTTCAAATTTTTTAAAAATTTTCAAATTTAATCTATGTATTAAAAATTTTAAATTGAACGGTTGGATCGTTGAAATTTGATGTAAAACATGAGTTATTGAACGAAGTCTAGGTAGACTTACTATATATATATATCTGGTACAATAGAGCTCTCAATTGATAACTATATTTTTTTATACTTAGTATTGGATTACTATATATATATATAGATGAGGGTTCAAACGACACCGGTATAACTTTTACTAAGTGTTACACCGCTCAATAACTTTATATTAAATGTGAATTTTGTAAATTCAACCGTTAGATTGAAAGTTCTTTACTCTTAAATCATATAGATACAAAATTTTATATTAATTCAAGATGATTTGATACTTCATTTTTATAAAACAAAATTGACGTAATATATTTATTTCAAAATATACTAAAATATGAACACTTTGATTACCCTCAAGTTATTGTTCAATTTTAACAAAATTTAATATACACATAAAGTGATATGAATTTTCAATCTAAGGGTTGGATTTACAAAATTCACATTTAATATAAAGTTATTGAGCAACACCGGTGTCATTTGAACCCTCTTCATATATATATAAAGAGATCCATCTACTTTAAGATTAAGTCTACCAAAATTTACTCCTTTCAATAACTTATTTTCTACATCAAATTTTAACGATCTAACCGTTGAATTTAAAATTCTTAATGCATAGATCAAGTCTGTAAATTTAAGAAAAAAAATTGAAAATCATTTGATATGTCGTTTCATTAATTAAAATTGACGAATAATCATAAAATTACTTTATACGTTGATTTGAATTAATAAAATAAAGTATTAAATGATTTTCATTAAAAATTTACAAATTTGATATATACATTAAGAACTTTAAATTTAACGGTTGAATTGTTAAAATTTGATATAATTAAAACACGAGTTATTAAACAGAACAAGTTTAAGCATACTAACTCTTAGAATAAACGAATTTCTATATATTTCTTTAGGTGTAGATTCAAATTATCCTTATGTCACTTTTTTTTGTTTAATGAAATTACTCTCAATTCGTAAGAGTTTGTTTGAATATTAGTTTAGAAACATTTTTAAAAATTTCTCTATTAAAAAATATTCTAATTAAAAAAAATTTAATAAAAAAACTCTAAAAAAAAAACACTTATACTTTGTACCTAAACATATTCTAATCAATATTCTCACTTATCCTATTAAGAATGTCGCTCTATTCATAAAGCACGATTTTTGCTCCTAAAATATTATTCTAATATAACAGAAATCTATCCTAAAAATATCATGTAAATTATATATATTTTTGGCCACGTCTTACGATCTCTAGACAAAAGGCTTGTTTAGCCACATATATTATATCCATAAGTATTATATATATATATATATATATATATATATATAAAAGAGAAGTTTAAATAATACATATATATATATATATAATTAATTAATCAAAAGCATGACAGTACAATGAAGAAACACCCTGATACATTTGTCTAAAAGAATACGTACCTCATAAATTCCTTTGACTAATCATCATGGAAATCCTGAACTCTTCAAACATTGATTGCAACATGCTTGTTTTACGCAGTAAAAACATAAGATATGAATTAATCATATCATAACTATATAACTATACATATATAAATAATTGCAGTAAAAAAACAAAATTCGTATATAAATAAATAAATAATTATTTAATTATAATCTTGATTCTTTATTTTAATTGTATGATAAAGGTTAATTTCTTTCCACTTACTTGAAGGTCTCTGATAGGAAAATTTCTGTTATCATTGCGATTAGATTAATTTGTGAGTCTGGTTGTAATTGGTTACACCATTTCGTCCTCCTAGCAAGTAATAGAACTTTAATATATATTCTCTTTCAAGTAATCGAATCTTTTTATAAAGCTATCAAACAATCAAACCTACTTGAAGAAAAGTATATCTTTTCTGATTTTCTCCTTCATAATATAAAGCAGAAACAGAATTAACGGGAGTTACGAACTTTAACAACCATTCAAGAAAGAAAAAAAAAACTTTAATTAGCAACAAAAAAAAATTAATAAAAGCACGAATGACGTTTTTCAATTCAAGTTATGACATTGTTAATTATGTCATTTTACCTGATATTAACCAAACATATGGGGTTGAGTGCTAATTTTTAAAGCATACAATAAAAAGCCATAATGATTGAACTTAAAAGCCCATGCTTTTCAATACTATGAAAGATAGGAGTAGACATAACATTGAGCATATATTTTGAGTATTATGCTCACTTTTTTTTTTTTTCGTAGCATCTAAATAATAATACTAATCTCATCGCTACGTTGGAGGCACCTCAAAAAGAGGGTAGAATAACTGGCCTCAAGATTTAACGCGACTGCATACACAAGGCAGGATTCGAACTCCTGACCTTGTTTAAGCGTGGATCAACCCCTACCGCTGAACTACACACTTGAGATTTTTAATGATCATCTAATTATGTGTTGGGAATATGCCTAAATATCTTTAGAAGATTAAGTTAGTTTTTTATAAGAATATTTTATTTATATTTCAAATATTTAGATTTAATCTGTTCTGATTATTTTAAGATTTATTTCCTTATTTTAGAATAGGATAATATCAAATATATTTGATTTTGTATAACAAATTTTCTCTATAAATAGAGACTCATGAATAAAATTATATTATGCTCCTCTGATAAAAAATGTCTTATTATAAAATATCTTCTCAAACAAATATCATAAAATAACTCCATCAGTGGTATCAGAGCCGCATGTTGGATTCGGTGACAACCAATAACCCTATAACCCCTCATAACTCATAAAATATAATGTGCCATATAAAGACAGATTCCGCTGCATGAAAGGTTAGGTCCCTTGTTTGAGAGGAGGATTGTTAGGATTCAAACAAGTCTCACATCGATAAAATAACATAACAAATAACAACTTATATAATACAAACATACTTCAATGATTAAGAGGCCTTTTGGGTGATGACCAAAAGCAAAACCGTGAGGGCTAAATCCCAAAGCGGACAATATCTCATCATTGTGGAGTATGTTTGTGTAATAACCTTATAAAAATAACTCATAAAATATCCTCTCAGACAAATACCATAAAATAACCCCATCATCATGAATATCATATAGGTATATAACTAAGAATTATTAAACTTTATAATCATAGAGTATTTCTAATTCTAATTCACTAATAGTATAAATGCCTCTTTTTTTATTTAATTTTAGCTTGTATATAGAGTATTTTCTAATTAATAGTATAAAAGTCTTTTTCTATAGACAATATATAAAAATTATACTATATATATAGTAGATAAAGTCATAAAGCTTTTTCCAAACTGGTACCTTTGCATTGTTGCTTTCTTAAAGCCATAAAGAATTATAATAAATATGAATAATTAAGGGAAGTGATAAAAGAGAGGTGGGTGTATAACCAACCATTACGGAGGCTTTTATGAAAGAAAATGCTAGCTTGCCACACTAACATACCATTGAATCTCACATGGGTCCATCGTATCACCATCACACTATGGCGATAACGCGCTTGTGCACATCTTTTTCTATTTTTAAGCTCTTCTTCTATATGCTAAAGGATAAGGTTATTAATTTTCAAGAGTTTTTATTTTAACACACTTGACATTAGAAAATGAGGAAAAAAAATTGTATAAAGTTATTTTACACTGTTATCTAATTACACACTATTATAAATAATAAATTTATTGATTTTTACAATTATATTAAAGTGGTGTTTAAAATCATGGTTCCTAATAATATCATTTCATGAATGATTAAATATGTTTACTTGATCATAAAAATGTTTGTAAATATTATTTGAGAATAAAATATTTTTACTGTATTAACCAGACAAATTAAGATATCGTAATACTTTTATCGTAGTAAAACATTCCTTTTAAAAACTTTTCTTAGGAAATTATGTTTTCTAGAAATGTTTGCCAACATTCTCAATTTCAGAATTCTGAAAAAGTATTTTACGTATCAAACATCTCCCAAAAATCATACTAACAATTACTTTTAATTAATCAACAATGTAAAATTATTTTACACAATCATTACATGATGATTAAACCCTAAAAACAATTACACTCAATTAATTAAAAATTATTCTATATGCAATTTTTTAAATAATTACTATAAAGAATCAATAATTTTCAACTACAAGACAAATATTCCAATTGAAAAACAAATACTTTAATACCATCAATGTTTCACAAAGATGTGAAGTGACTCCATAGACTAGGCCTTGACCTGTATAACCACATGTGCATGCACCTCATTTTTATTTCCACCATTACTTTGCTCAATTAAAAAGCCACCCACTAAGGTCACAAGCAAGAGCAATATCTTAAACAAATGTGTCCTTATTAAGACAGCTTTTCACTAATCAAAGATGGCAGTAAAATAGAAAAAAAAAAAATACAGACTCTCCTGTCACATAATAAAATATTCTGTTCACATTCACACCTCAGCCTTCACAGCTCCTGAGAGAGGAGCAAACAAAAACAACAAATATATATTATATATAAACAGGAAAAACCAATGAAGAAACTTGTTTCTTGTAAATCTAAGAAACCCACCACCCTTTCTCTCCAACAATTTTTTTTGGAGACTTATAGAGAGCTTCATTATACACCAGAACACTAAGTGGTACCACCACAAGTTACCAAAATAGCTACACTAGATAAAAATAACACCTAGTCTTCTCTTCTTTTTTTTTTTTTGTACTTTTCTTTGCTTAACATGAATGATCAAGTTCAAGGGCAATTTGGGTTTCTTCCAGGACCACCATAATAGAAGTAGTTACCCCAATCTCCAGCACTGCCAGTTTGCACATTGTAGCAGCTATCTTGTTCAGTGTAAGTGCCAAGGTCTTTTGGTGCTCTGAGCTTGTTGTCACCATCAACAATCTGAATGTTCTTGAAGTAACTAGCCTTGCCAAAACCTTCCCCAGGGAAATGGCCACTTCCCATCTGAGTTGAGGTGTGTTGGCCATCGGATTCGGAGTTCACAACCTCTCCTCCCCACTCAATCATTGACGCGCTGTCAGTGAGGTACGAGAAGAGAGGAGCTGGCCAGTATCCCATAACATGGTCATTCCCAAATTGCATCCACCAGTTACCCTCTTTGGGGTCCTACATGCACATTGGTTTTCCATAATGGACAACATCAGATGGCATTCTTACATGATAATAAATTCATGGACCCCCAAAAGACATGTATCATTCAAATATAATGAAATATGTGTGTCAGAGATTCTCTTGATTTATAATTAACTAATATGGTCTGCACAAAACAGTGGTATTAATATATTAATGGTAATGCATTATGGTAGTGTTTGTTAAGTGCAGGGCATATTTTCATGCCAGAATGTCCTATATCAAGAGATAATATATAAAAAGAACATAAAAAATGTACCTTCCAGACCAGGATGCTGATATCATATTGGGAAGAACCATACTTAGAAAGTGGGGAGATGCTTGCTCCCAGTGCTATATCACTGTTAATTTGAATAAAGCCAGAGCAAAGGAGATTATAACAACCAGTAGCTTGATATGCATCACTCTGTCATGGTAGTGAAACAATTGCATGAAATGAATTAGAAATTGAAAAAATGATTAGAAAAGAGGACAAAATTGGGGTGCTTGAATTTGAATTGGTTACTCACTGTCCAATAAGTGAAGAGTCTAGTGTTGTTGTCTCCATACAAATCTGGGCTGACCTAATTGCCACAATAGAGAAATCACAAAATAGGAAATTAGAAGGAAAGTAGTAAATCTTATCTTTATGAGGATGCTGAATTTGAAAATATTTGCAGGCAGAAGATGACAATAGAGAAAAAAGTTTAATAATACCTGCCAACCTGCCTCAATGCTGTTGAGATCTTGACCAAAAGAGCCACCCAAAATCCACATTTGAGACAGGCTAAATTCATTGGGTTGTTGAATTTTTGGGTCCCAAACGTTTATGGTTGCCTTGGCTCCATAATACTTATCTCCCTCCACATAAACTATGGCATGCTAAATGCTCCAAAAAGATTAAAGGAATAAAGAAAAATACATAAAATCAGGAGAAATAGTAAACAAATAATTCAATAGCTATCTTTTGCACCCATACTAGTTTTCCCTTTAGCATAAAAAAAAGGCCTAATATGACAGTGTACATCTTTTTCTTTTCTTTATTTTTTTTTTCCTTTTACCGGTCATAGAAATGAAAAAACAAATGAGAAATGAGGGTAATTTTCTTAGTATTTAGTAGTAGTATACTGAACTTGGTGCTACTGCATCATCAGTGTCATGGTAGTGGCAGTACCTGGTGGCCACTCTGACTAATGAGGTCAGGTAGAGGTTTTGCAGGTTTTGGCTGAGGGAAGCTCTTTTGCTTCTTCTTTCCAAATTGCTGAATAGAGCTTGACCTTAATATGTCATTCTTTGTGGTCCTTCTGATAGGAATTGTTCCTTCAGGGCATCTCCCATTTTGGTGCCACAGCTGAGAAATAGGCTTGGAATTTGAAGACACTTTGCTTTCTCCAAAAGGGTGCCCTTCTGGATGGAAATTTGGTTTCATCTGCATCACCAAAGCATGATGGTTTGAAATTCAAGTTTGAACCAAATGACACCCCACAGAGGAAAGAGAAAAACAAAACGAAATGGAGTTAACCAGATTAAGAATTTTGAATTAGAAAAAAAGGCAATAGATAAGAAAAGTAAAATTCTTCACCTGAATCTTGTGATTTTTGAGGTCAGGGTGATCAAAAGCCGGCTGGTGTGAGACATGGATGCAGTCAATCATATCTCCATCAGGACTCTGCTCTCACAACAACACAAATGCAAATAAGAAACTTGCAAAAAAGAACTATATGCTCATGGATGCCCCCAAAATCCAAAGAACCAACCCAATTACACTACAATTCTTGGCAAAACCCAGAAAAGGCACCACTAAAAAGCACACTAAAATTCTGCTCTAACAAGTGAAAGAGACTCAAAAAAGCACCCAAGTGAGACAACATGAGCATCCAGGATTAAAGTTCCTTTCACCTCAAAAAGGTCCATTGTTGCAAACACCAATTAGAATAACAGTTAGCCATCAGTGAAAAAGTTGAAGAGGCAAAAGAAAGAGATGTCACAAACGGTTTAAAAAGCTAAAGAGAAACAAAAGTCATAGCAGAAATTAAGAAACAAAGAAAGAAAAACTCTCTCTCTCTCTTTCTCTCTTTCTCTCTCTACCTTGATGGACCTAACAGGAGGCCTATTCAAGCTCTTCAAGTGCTTCTGAACCTCAAGCTTCTGACTTGAACCAGAACAAGCCAAAGGCACCACCAACAACATGCAAAGCAAAACCAACACAACCTTCCCCATTGCAACAACCTTCCAATCCAAAAGCATGCAACTTTGTGAGAATTCTCAAAGTGGGTATCCTAGACTCACAATACAACCCAAAGGGTCACTAAAAACCATGAAGGATTTATAACACACAGAGAGACACAAAAGGAACCAATTAAATGGCCTTAAAACTATAATGAGTTGTTGTTGTTGTTAATAAAAAGAACAATTTTTATCCCCCTTTTTTAAATGGGTTCCCTGATTCTTTTCTCTCCCTAACCTTCACCCTACTTTGCCGCTTATCCTGCGCACCCCACCACCAACCAAGCACAAGAAGCACCACCACACCACCCTTTGCTACACAAACACAAAATACAAACAAAAAAATGTGCTTGACACCTTTGAGTGAGAGGGGCCCTTCAAATTCCCCTCTTATTTGTTCCTCACAAGGCTACAAAATAAACTGCCGACGGAAAAGAAAGGGGCACTATGGGAAAAACACAAACCAAACAAAAGCCTTTTGTGGAAATGCATGGTCGTGTTATCCAGTCACCTTCTAACAGAATTGAGGTTCCACTACTCACAGTGGAAGGAGAGAGAAAGTGCGTTAGTTCCCGCTACTATGGACAAGACTGTGTGCAATTACGCTTCTGCCCCTTAGAGTCACGGGATTGGAATTTGAATTCCCATTTTTCTTTCTCACTTGCTGTTTTTGTTGTTTTGCCACTCTGTGGAAGGAGATAGAGGTTCCAAGTCCAAATAATTTTATTCTTTCCACTGTGATTACTAGAAGAATAGTTCAGGTTTGTTTTATTTTATTTTCTTGGATGTGTTTATCCAAACAAATGAATTCGGTTGTGTCGAGTTCAACTTTACATGGTTGGTTCGAATTCAATTAACCACTTTAATAATGCAATCAAATTAGTGTTTATATAGTTTTAAAATAATTATTTTAAAAACTATCAAATAAACATACAAAATAGTATTTGTGATTAAATACTTGTGTAACATTATTTTATATTATTGTATATGTATCTACATTAAGATACTTTCTAATCTTTCTCTTAAATGTTATTCTTCAATTCTCAATTCAGATGGCTTATTAGGTCGAGGAGATATACTTATAAAAATACTTCGAAGTTTAAGTAAGCAATTTACTTAGTATAATAAATATACATATAAACAATGAATTTATCTTGAAATATGATACTATTTATATTATCTATGATGAATCTAGATTTTAATAGACATTAATTTAGGATTATCAATTAGATAATACGTTAATAATCCACTTTGTATCATTATTAGACTATAACCACCTTAATTATCTTTTCATAAAATAAAAAATCATCTATCCTATCCAACATTATATGTGATCGACAATTGTGAGTACCAAACAAGGGTGTTTTAAGGGGTGTCTAATGAATGTTCCTATGTTCAAGAGAGTACTTTGGTGTTTAAGGTTATCAAATGAGCATTAATAGACCTAAGAAGGTGTCTCAGTGCCTACAATACATCGGTGTTTGAGACTATCGAATGAGCATTTCTGCATTAACAACAATACTTTGGTGTTTGAGGTTATCAAACAAATATATCTAAACTTATGAGTGTTTCGATGTTTGAGATTATCAAACAAGCATACCTAAACTCATAAAAAGGTACCTTAATGTCTAGGTTGCCAAACGGGAACTATCAATAATTTTCGATAACCAAATAGTTTATCTCGTATAGTATCCATGAAGAATTTTTTTTTCTCTGAATCAATTTGATCAAATTCAGGTTTGGATATCCAATCACATCATTTCTATAAATAAAAAAATATAAAAAAAAATGCTTGTTATCAAGATAGTAGATGTAGAGTTTTTTTACTCAAATAATACTATTTTAAAATTTTTTTACCCAAATAGCAACTGTGCAAATTTATTTCCCAAACTAGTACCATTTACTATTCACGTTTCAGAACGACCCGTTCTGAAATCAGAACGGGCCGTTCTGGATTAAAAAATAACACATGGAAAAGAAATCAGAACGGGCCGTTCCAAAATAAAAATTAGCACATAAAAAGTGGAACTAGGGCCCGTTCTGCTTTCAGAACGGCTCCTTCCAAAATCAAAATTAGCACATAAAAAGTGGAACTAGAACGGCCCGTTCTGCTTTTAGAATGGGCCGTTCTGACCTACAAAAAAATTTTTTTTTTCGATTTTCACTTATCAAATACCAAAACTCAGAAACTAACATTAAATAATTAAATTTATTGAATATTAATATTATAAATATATCTAAATAAATTTATTAAAATTCAATACAATAATAAAGATCAATAGTGGCAGAAACTGATTATGTTGTTCTCTAATGTCCATCTCTGTTTTAATCCTGCTAGACTTTGGCCGACCCTTGAAAGTTCGCTTGAGTTCTGGATTTAGCCACAAAGTTGGACCAGTGTAAGTAGGCCAATAATCTTCATGTCGGAGCTCTCCAAATGAAATGTTTAACCCACTGGGAGATTTACAGTAAGGCTAAATGAAATGTGGTATGATTGCGACAAGTTCCAGAAAGGTATACGAAGGACAGTTTGGAGAGCTCCGACATGAAGATTACATCCGAGAAAAGTTTGACCCACTGGGAGATTTACAGTAAGGCTAAATGAAATGTGATATGATTGCGGAAAGTTTCAGAGAGGTATACAAAGGACAGTTTGGAGAGCTTTGACATGAAGATTACATTCGAGAAAAGTTTGACCCGTTGGGAAATTTACAGTAAGGCTAAATGAAATGTGGTATGATTGCAGCAAGTTTCAAAAAGGTATACGAAGGACAGTTTGGAGAGCTTCGACATGAAGATTACATCCGAGAAAAGTTTGACCCGCTGGGAGATTTATAGTAAGACTAAATGAAATGTGGTATGATTGCGGCAAGTTCCAAAAAGGTATACGAAGGACAGTTTGGAGAGCTCCGACATGAAAATTATTGGCCTACTTACACTGGTCCAACTTTGTGGCCAAATCCAGAACTCAAGCGAACTTTCAAGGGTCGACCAAAGTCTAGCAGGATTAAAACAGAGATGGACATTAGAGAACAACATAATCATTTTCTACCACCATCGATCTTTATTGTTGTATTGAAATTTAATAAATTTATTTAGATATATTTATAATGTTAATATTCAATAAATTTAATTATTTGATGTTAATTTCTGAGTTTTGGTATTTGATAAGTGAAAATCGAAAAAAAAAAATCATTTGTAGGTCAGAATGGCCCATTCTGAAAGCAGAACGGACCGTTCTGGTTTCACTTTTTATGTGCTAATTTTGATTTTGGAATGACCCATTCTGATTTGTTTTCCATGTGTTATTTTTTAATCCGGAACGATCTGTTCTGATTTCAGAACAGCCTGTTCCGAAACATGAACAGTAAATGGTGCTAGTTGGGGAAATAAATCTGCACGGTTACTATTTGGATAAATTTTTTTTAAAATAGTATTATTTGAGTAAAAAACTCGTAGATGCATGGCTGGGTAGATTAGAAATTGGTACTCCTTCCATTTTTTTTTCATTGACATTTAAGGTTATGCACAAGAATTAAGAAAATGATTGATATTTTAATTTTTCAAAGTATTTATTATCTATTTTCCTATTAGAGCATCTCCAACGGGGTTGCTTATAAACAACCTCCTGTACCACATTACTGCCACATCAGCTCTGACCCATTTTATGGATTGCTTAAATTTTAGCAAAGTTGCTTCTATAAGCAACTTTGCTAAAATTTAAGCAACACATAAAGTGAGACAGAGCTGATGTGGCAGTGATGTGGCATAAGGAGTTGCTTATAAGCAACCCCCCTTGCAGATGCTCTAACTCTTTAGGTGATTGGAGAGAAAATAGGTACATTATTAAATGAATAGACACATTGTTCAATAAACATACATTAATTATCAAGGGTAAAAATGAAAGAAAATTAATAAGTCATTGATTTTAGAAAAGTGACTATAAAAAAAGAAAAAAAAATAGTGTCAAAACGACTATGAAAAGAAAACGGATGGAGTATATATTAAAAAGATAAAAAAATTATAATGCGTAAAAAATTATATTAAAGGTATATTATATATTAAAAAGTTTTTTAAAATAAAACCTAGATCAGGCTGCTTCAATTTCTAATTTTTTATTTTATTTTTTGTGTGATTTTATGGATTCACATGGGTTTCTTTCGCAAGCCAATGCAGATTTATACTTAGCTTGATGTAAGGAAAGGGAGCAAAGAAAAATATCTTTAAGATAATTAATGAAAAACAAATAAGAAATTGAATACTTTCAGACGCAGAATTCATGCTTGCGCTCAAGACACTTCGTATTTTTGTATATCTTATTTAAAAATAATAGAGATTACAAAATATAAATTAAAATAAGATAATATATAATTAAAAAAGAGTAAAATAATTTTAAATAAAATTAAACTAAAGATGATTACAAAATAAGAGTTAGTTACTGTTCATAGAATGATTAATTATTTTATATATATATTTTTTCTTCAATTTTATCTTTGACAGATATGATGGGAAAAAATAATATATAATAAAAAAGTATAAATATTAAAAAATATGAAAGATACTCCCTTCATGTTATATATATATATATATATATGGCTGAATTGAGGAAGACTTTAATAATTGAATACATAATATAGATTTTATGTTTTATTTTATTTATAGTATAGTATAGATACATGTTTTAATCAATGTTTTAAATTTTAGATTCAATGGTTCAAGGTCTGTCTAGAATTTTTTTTTTCCATAAATGCTTAAAAGGAAAGAAAAATAGGAATAAAGAATTAAATTAGTTTTAAAGTAAGTTAATTATTTTAATCATGTTATTAGATGAAATATCTAGATTTTGTTACTTGATTGATTATTTTTAAAGTTAATCACCTATACATTGTCAGTGTAAAATTTTTTTACACGGGCAACTAATCATATTTTTTAATAGTTTCATGTCAGCTGCTTATTTAATAAAATAAGTAACTTTAAAAGATATGATTGGTTGCCAGTGTAAAAAATTTTACACCGACAATGTATAGATGATTAACCCTTATTTTTATTGGAGTTTTTCATTTTCAACCATTTTATTTTTCAAGCATTATACTCAAACTTAAGACATTGAGTCCAATATTACTTGAATTATCGATTTGCTGGTGTAAGTTAAAATTAAGTATGCCAATTTATTTATTTTTTGAAAAATTAATGCAAGATAGTTTTCACAAATTAATTTATGTATAAATTAACTTTAATTTATAAATAAATTTACTTTTTTTTTTATTTTATGTTTTTATGAGTATTTATGAAGTAATTTATTCAAACAGTTTTGTAAACATATAATTGAATTGCGAAAGAATTTGTATTAAGAAAATAATAATAATTAATATATAATAATATTAAATAACTATAAAAAATAATTTGGTAGGTTTTAAATATTTGAAAATATGCATAAAATTCTAAATTAAATATATTGTAGTACTTATTCATTAACAATA